CCTCACACAAAGCTGCCGCATGCCTGCAGAAGACAGTACAAAGGTCATATAGACTTCTGCTGTGGTGCTTTTTGTGACATTTTGAAGCTTGGAAGCCTTGAAAGAGTCCTGTAAAAGATCCTAAAGGGCAGATAAAGTATTACTTCAAGATCAAGAGCTTATTTTCCTTCAGTGATGGTATAATTGTCCACCTATGGACAGGAGTTTACTCTATTTAATTCAAAGGCTTTAGTATGTGTGACTCTAAGTTATGATACATTTTCACTGTACGTTTCGACTTAGACGGGATTTACAGAATCAATCATGTTCTCTTGTGACGGGTTTTATAGAAGTTCTGACAAGTGTACGGCAGTGAAGACATATATCAAATCCAAAGCTATGGGATTAGAATGTGTGAAAGGAGAAAGAAACCTGTCAATGTAGACACACAGACAGCCCTGGCCTTTGAGATTGAAACAATATGTTAACATTTAGATCATACTGAGGCAGAAATAAGCGTATATTGTGGTCTAACTTAGACACACATTCTTTAAATTCAGTTCTAAATTGCTATATAAAGTAAAAATAAATAAATACATACATTTAAAAAGGAAAAAAGAAGATTTTGAAGTTTGTAATTATAGATTGTCTTATCTTGCTGCTATCAAACATGTTAAAACTCTTTTTGTTCTCCATTCAGTTCCAGGGATTGAAATAAGAGTCGTATTCCTTTTTACTCATTAATGGAAACCGTCCATGACAATATTGGCTTTGTATGGTGCTGTAGATCAAATAAAGCACTTTGTTTTACATTGTGTGAGTTGTCACATGCTTTTGGGGAGAAATATCAAGCACAGCTTTCAGCTTTAACTGGCTAAACAGAGCAGAAATTGTAACACCATTTGCAATTGAAAATTCTTTATCTCTGCTTTGAAGGGGTTGGGATAAATGAGGTGTGTGGAATCAAGCCCTCTAAATCACTTGCATTTTACACTTTGCATGAGATGTGTTGAAAGGCCATTTAGACACAAGGATACCCAAAAGGTGAGAGCCTTTGGGGATTCGAGTAGTGTGTATCCTACTAAAAGCCTTTCACACCTATCTTTCAGACAGATTTCTCTTTAAGAGCTATCCCTACGGTGAAGACCACAGCTGACATGCACAAAGCGGCCTGTGCTGAGCTGACACAGGGTTAGATTTATGTCTGTATAATACTGATAACACTATTCATGTGGCAAATATCCAAGATGAAATTGCTATTCAGAAAGAGAGCATGAGAGCATGCCTACAGGCCATGTTTTCTCCAAGAATCCGAGGCTTGTTGGGGCTGATCAAGAGGCATTTTCTTTAACACGTCATGCCTGAAATGCCAAACAGATCCTGAAACATAAGTCTTTCTCAGAAATGTAGCATGCACATGGCCTCTGGTCTGAGTTCCATAACTACATAATTTCCATCCAGCTACCTTATTTGTAAATAACATTGTTCACGACTGCCCCGCAGTTATATGAGAGCCATCATACAGAAGATCAGAAACATAACTCTGGGCGCTTGAGGAGTGGAGTAACACGGTTACTGAAGGTTAAAGATGTCAGTCAAACTCGACTACTGTATAGTCTTTAGTATAGGACTGTCTGTGAAGTGAAGGTACATTTTTCTTATTAAAATGTGATACACATAAAGTAAATCGTACTTTTAAATAATGTTTAAAAATACCAGAACCAAATGACATTTAACAAACCCAGCAAACAAACAAAAAATATATTCCATGAATTTTTAATGATTCTTTATTTTATTGAACATTCAAAATGGCCAGCTTTTTTAATGGTTTATTATTATTTATTTATTTATTTATTTAATCGTACTTTTAAATAATGTTTAAAAATACCAGAACCAAATGACATTTAACAAACCCAGCAAACAAAAAAATATATATTCCATGAATTTTTAATGATTCTTTATTTTATTAAACATTCAAAATGGCCAGCTTTTTTAATGGTTTATTATTATTTATTTATTTATTTATTTTTGGTTATGCAAACATTAAGGGAACATTTCATTTTATCATTTTACATTATGGGACATTTTTGGATTGTTACTTTTGAATGTTCTCTGAACATTTTGAAACAAGTTGAAATGTTTAGAAAATGTTAGACAAACATTTTTCAGAAAAAAATATTTGTGTGTGTGTGTGTGTGTATGTATTCTATATGTATTTATTTTATTTTTTTTCATGCTAATGTTTTGAGAATATCGTTAAAGACAACTTTGTGGACGAATGGTTTATTAACGTTACTGGAAGAGCCAATCCTAGACTTCTGGGGGCCCTAAGCAAACAACTTAGCAAACTTAAACAATTTAGCCTAATAGCCTACTATACCGAAATGTATTAAAGTAATCAAATGTAACAAAGTAAAGCCCTGCATAGACTTCACCATATAAATAAAACATAAATTGATTTGATTCATAACAAAGTTATACAATATTCAATGAAGAGCAGTGAATAATTCTCTCATTTTCTTTTGATGTTTGATTAACAGATGATGACAGACAGCAGCAGGTTTATACAGTAAGATGCTGTCACAGAATGCACAGACACTGACTAGCATTCAATTACTTTTTAAACTGTTTATTTTCACTAAAGACATAACTGACAGTGTTTCGTGAAAACTCACCAAGACGGACATCTTGACATATACAAAGCACAAAGTAGCCTATATTTGTCCGTGTTTCTCTCCGTCTCAAATTGCGAACACGGAAAGCGCTTGGGAAACAGTTGGCCTTATTTTAACGATCTAAGCACATGGTCTAAAGCGCACGGCGCAGGTGCACTTAGGGCGTGTCCAAATCCACTTTTGCTAGTTTAACAACGGGAAAAACGGTCGGCGCCCGGCGCATATTTGTTGGTAAATGGCGCAGTCTATCTCAGTTGCCTCAAAATAGCAACGCGCCAGCAATGCGCCTGAACACACCTCGTTTTCAGACCAGCACGCCCATGGGCGCACAAATGGGCGCAAATGCATTTGGTATTTACACAATGTGGAGCAGGATGTGAAAATGACAACTGCGTCGGGCTGAAAAAACAATGGCGCCGCATTGTGCCAGGTGTATGATAGGGCCCAGTGTCTCTTCCTTGGCTCAGTGTGAATTTAACTCGCTTTTTAGTATCAAGCAAGAACGACAGGAGACTATATATGACAGTCACGTTACATGTTTTGACTGATTTGGATGTTATGTAGAAAGCGCACCGACTGCGTCAGGCTGAAAAAACACTTGCGTCGCGCCTGGCGCCGCATTGTGCAAGGTGTATGATAGGGCCCAGTGTCTCTTCCTTGGCTCAGTGTGAATTTAACTCGCTTTTTAGTATCAAGCAAGAACGACAGGAGACTATATATGACAGTCACGTTACAATGTGCGGATTTGCTATTTACACGGCGAAATTTGCAAGAGCAAAGACTGAACGCGTCTCCAGAGATGAAACGGAGCTGCTCTTGCGCGAGCAAATAGGTAGCCTAATTCTGATACATGCAATGACTATCCATTATGACATGTAGGCATTTTTATATTTATGTAGCCTACCAGCAATGCGCCTGAACACACCTCGTTTTCAGACCAGCACGCCCATGGGCGCACAAATGGGCGCAAATGCATTTGGTATTTACACAATGTGGAGCAGGATGTGAAAATGACAACTGCGTCGGGCTGAAAAAACAATGGCGCCGCATTGTGCCAGGTGTATGATAGGGCCCAGTGTCTCTTCCTTGGCTCAGTGTGAATTTAACTCGCTTTTTAGTATCAAGCAAGAACGACAGGAGACTATATATGACAGTCACGTTACAATGTTTTGACTGATTTGGATGTTATGTAGAAAGCGCACCGCATTAAAGAAAGGAACATTCATGTTTTCATAACCGCTGGCCAAAATCAAAAATGAAACTAAAATTAAATAATCGTTTAGAGCAAGGGGGCCCCCTGGTGTTTCGGTGGCCCTACGCAACATGTGTACTTTGTGTATAGGGAGGATCGGCTCTAAGAATGTTTGTTCTGAACTTTGCCAGAACTTTAGCAAAAATTCTCAGAACATTCCCTGTTAGCTTCGATTCTGCTAATGTGAACAGAATACCGAAAAACAAATGTTCTGACAAAGTTTCTTGCACTACTACTTCAACGTCAATCTACAGCATGTAAAAACGTGACCATCCAATTACAGAAAACTAATGACTCTATGAACCGCTTCTTTTTTAAATGAATGAAAAACATATAACACAACCAGTAAAGTCTGATTCCCGAATGACTCTTCATAACCCAAAACATGCAGCGCAATCCAACTCCCAAAGAATGACTATACAGAGCCACTTCATTTGAGTGATTCAAAAGCATAGAGCACAACCAATGTAATCTGATTCCCAAATGAATATGGATCTAATGAGTCACTTCATTTAGTTAATCAAAAATGTATTATTTTTAGGGAATCAAATACATACTGTGCAGCCAGTGTAGTCCCACTCCCTCCAAAAAGACTGTGAAAAGTCAGTAAAAAGTCTGTACAGGCATGCCTTTCAATTTAATTATTATTGAAATTATAATTTTTACCCTTAATACTTATTCCTGAAAAATATTTCAAGAATAGTTTATGAAACGGTTAGTAAATGGGAATGTGGAATCATTTAATTCTTTACAATTCATATTCCTTGTTGAGAGACTGATGTACTATTATTTGAATTCATTTTCTGCACAGGTTTATTTTGCTACAGGTCAAAAGTCTGTCTGTATGCAAGACTAGGGTTCAGTTTAGGATATATATTCATATTGCCATATGCACCATGCATATTTTGAACTTGACCAGTGTAATTAAAAATATATATATTTTTCCCACTTGTCTCTGTGCATCTTGACACTTAGAAGTTATCACCACAGTGGGCTCAAGAGTTATGACAAATTCTGCCTGAGAGTTTAGAAACCCAAGCAGCTTTATGTAGTCGACTGAGTCAAGTTTTCCTCAGTGCTGAGATATTATTTCCATTACCAATTATGTCACATAAAAGCAGAAAATTCAGACTCGATCTATCATTCTTAAGCCCTAAACTGGTCTTTTGGGTACATGTGAGAGCTGTTGCAATATGCAGCCTGCAGTTGTGGGGGAGGTAATTAGTGTATAAGATTTTCATGAGATTGGAGTGTACTTTTTAAAGACCATGAAATATTAATAATGCAAGAGCAGACTTGAGTTACTTTTGCTCTAAGAGATGCAATATTGAAGATGCAACGTTGAAATAACAACCTCTTGTCAACTGCCAAGATCAGACAATTAGATCAGATAATTATTTTAGTAATGCATTTGAAATTGCATGGTTTGTTTGTTTTTTCCTAAGACGCAATCTACATTTGTATTGTTTTATCAGTTTGACTGGCAACAAAACGACAGCATGTGTGCATTTTTCAGCTCTCTAAAAGTCAATAAACTCTGTTAAAGCTGCAGTTCATTGTTGCAGAAACAAACTGCAGAAACACTGCATGACATAAAGTGGGTCAGGCCAAATCCAACCCAAAGTGGCCCCCAATTTCCTGCTTGTTTACGTGGCCTCAGACCTCCTTCCCATTCCAAAGCGCTGGTCTGTGTTTTTGGCACGTCAATTTGTCAAATTTACCCCAAAGTCAAAGATCCAGGTCTCGTCACGTACCTCCAAAACACATTTCAGCATTACTTCCACATTGCGACTGAATTAGGAGCTATGTTCCCTCTCCACGACCATCTGTGCAGTTTCCTAATGAGACCAGACCTCACGCTGGACATCAATCTCAATTAAACTCTGATGGTTCCAAAATCACCTATGGTAATGAATTAACACTCTTGATTCATTATTTGGTTTGGGGGGGAGCATGGGTGTGCTCTGAAATCATTGTGCTGTTAGGAAGCACGGACAATTTAATCAGAACCTATTAACATGATGGATATGATGGCTATAGCAAGGAACACATTGAGTGCAAAAGAAAATGAGTTATTTCTGTCAGTCTAAGGGAATATTAAATGGAATGAATGGACCGTAGTTTGTGGGGGGAAAGAAACGTGGTTTTATATGCCTCGGGACAAGAAGCCTGAAACTGATGGCCACCGTTATAGGATGCTTTTACGGCGAGCTAATTAGACTAATCCAGGTTGGATTTCTTCTCAAGCACAATAATTGATCAGCGACTGTAGAAGCTACTTCACTTCAATGGACATGCTTTTATCTTACATTTTCTACCTTGAAAACCCTACCAATATACTGCAGATTGTCTTACTATAATGGAAACACGCTGTCATTATTCAAAATATGTATGAATAAATAATAAATATTGCAAAAACACTTTGTGAATAATTATAATTCCATTATAGCTTAATTATACATTATAGTTTTTGCAATGACTGTATCCACCCCAAGCAACGATTTGTAAGCAGGTTTTGTTTTTGTTTTTTTTGCAATTTCACTGTTTCCATGAAGCATTTATCTCTTCTATCCCACAATATGCTAATTAATTTATATAGACAGACAGACAGACAGACAGATAGATAGATAGATACATAGATAGCTCACGCTGGACATCAATCTCAATTAAACTCTGATGGTTCCAAAATCACCTATGGCCTTGATTGGGATTTGACGGTTCGATCCAACTGCTTGCGAGTATGAGAAATTGTTGTTCTTTTTTTTTTTTTTTT